TGGGCACAACATCTAAATAATGAGTTTGGCCAGGCCCTCTGAATCGTAATGCTACAGGATACAATGACTCGCTTCCAAATTTGTGGCAACAGTTTGTGGACGGCCCTTTTCTGTTCGCACGACAGTGTCTCTGTGCACAAAGCAAGTTCAGTAAAGAAATGATTCACTGAGTTTGATGAGAAGGCATCCATAACGCCATCCCCCACCCCACCCCAAATAAACACCTTTGGGATGGACTGGAACTTTGCCTATAATGTAAACCAGATCTCATCGCCTAACATTGGTGCATTGGTAAGGGTACTGATGGTCATGTTTGAATGAGAGCAAATACCATCAGCAATTATAAAATATATAGTGGAAAGTCTTCTCAAAAAAGTGGAAGCCCTTTGAAAGGACTATTTTAAATTAAATATAAAATAAAACACCACACATATGATTCTGGTTCTGATTCATTAACGGGTTCCATTAACAATTCTTTTAGCATTTAAATATTTAGGGGGATAATGCAATTCCACTGTCACATGACAAGATCATTTCAATAATAAATATATTTACAGCAATTCGTGAAAAAGTTGTGCCATAACTAATTACTAAACAACAATACTAGACAAGCTAAATGTGGTAACATACACCATCGTTCAAAAGTTTGGGGTCAGAAAGATTTTTTTTTTTTGGGAAAGAAATTAATACTTTTAATCAACAAGGATGCATTAAATTGATCAAAAGTGACAGTTAATACATTTATAACACTACAAAGGATTTTTTTTTCTAATTAATGATTTTGAACTTTCTATTCATCAAATAATCCTGGGAAAAAATGACCTGAGTTTGACAATAATATTGTAATAATAAGAATAGTAACATTGACAATAATATGAAATGTTTCTTGAGCAACAAATCAGCGTATTAGAATGATTTCTGAAGGATCATGTGACACTGAAGACTGGAGTAATGATTTGATCACAGGAATAAATTAGATTATAATATATTCAATAGAAAAGTTCGCATCAACTGTCATTCCGAAAGCTGGAATACAGAATCTAGACTCAGGCCTGGACTAATTGGCCTTGTATCAAGGAAATCTAGAGTAACGTCCTTTCGCTCATTTGGCAGTGATATCTCCTGTAGGTTTATTTCAAGCAGACAGGACGTGATTGTAATATCTTTGGAAAAGCTGTGATGAAGCATACACTGTAAAAAAATTGCTGTAATTATGCAGCTGTTTGCCAGTAACTTACTGTAGATTTAAATTTATGTATATTTACTGGCAACAGTTTGTTCAAAGTTAAATGAACATTAAACATTAACAAGTCTTTGTCTTTACAGAATAAAATAATAAAATAACAATCTAATGCAAAGCATTCTGGGAACCAGAAATCTTCATCAACCTTTTTCTGTTTTTTTCCCTTCAGATTTTGGTTCCCAGAATGCTTTGCATGAGGCTGTTATTTTGGTTTTATTCTGTAAAGATAAAGACTTGTTAATGTTTAATGTTCATTTAACTTTGAACAAACTGTTGCCAGTAAATAACATCAATTTAAAACTACAGTAAGTTACTGGCAAGCAGCTGCCAGTAATACTGTAATTTCTACAGATTTTTTTTACAGTGTATGGTTGCCTTTATGAATTTCATTATCAATACAAATAAGCTTAACTTTCTTTATGCATCACAACATAAGTACATGACCACTGATGTTGGTTAAAAAGATCCTAACCATTAAACAAGACAAATGTGCTGATCTTGCTGCACAGAACTTTGATTCGGTCTCACATTTCCAGGTGCTCGTTTAAGAAGACATTTCCAAGAAAATGCACAAATATATGTGTAACCAAATTAAAAAAACACAACTCTGCCCTCTAATTCGGTTTACAGACCTTCTGTCACCTCCCTCTGCCTTTCTATCTTTTCCTTTTCTTTAAGTACACAGTGTGCTGGTCAACACGTTAAACTTATTCCCTGTACAGCAATCACATGCCAGCCAACTCTCTCAAACGCTGTGTCGACTCAGACAAGAGGGCATCAACCGCACAAACTTTGGCAGCACAGGTCAAACTAGGTTGTGTAGTCCAGGTAAACAAACAGGTGTGCCAACCAGGTTAAATGTTCAAATGCACCTCAAGTTCAATTATTTAAGAATATAATATTTCAACAGACCTGGGGTTCACCAGTTTCACCTCTAATCCCACACCAGATCCTCAACATTCCTGATTTCTCATAGTCAGGGTTGGCCAAACAATTTCGCTAAACATGCATTTCACATTCACTTCCAGTGGTGGGAAGAGACGCAAACTAAGACAGCTTGAACAAACTTAGCTAAGAGAGAGAGAGAAAGAGATCTGCCCCTTTTTTATACAAGTGGACAAAAAGCAAAACAAACACTAACAGCCAAAGGTCATTTTCTAGCATGATAGAAATAATTATACAGTATGTATGTAAGTGTGAGAATTAGCAAGTAGAAACAATTAAGGCAATACATTTAAATAATATACATTCAACATTTAAATAATACATTACCTGTACCTTGTACCCTTAGTGTACCTTACTGACAAGAAACCAAATGGTTCAGCCTTAACCATATACAGATTTTTTGTTGCAAACACCCAACAATTTGTATGTTTACTCTTTGTTGTCATGACAGGACAGCTGTTTCAAAGCTTGTGTGGTCTTAAGTAATCACCTCCCGTGCTAAATACTGCCAACTGAAAACACATCTTTAAGTACAGCTAGTACAACGTAAGATCAATGAATGACTGCACTGGTCAAGTACATAAACACTCAACTTAAGCGGCTCTTAAGTGTTCATCAAGAGCCATATTTGTCCAGCTTGAAATGCAAAACTTCATAATCCTCCTCCAGTTGAGCTGATACAGAACATGGGACTCAATGTAAAACAAAGGTACACTTCAGATTTATGAAATAATAAACTAGGCTAAAAATCTAATCTAACCAATTTACGATTATCAGTCTGTTGTGCTGTAACACTAGTGACATTTACCAAACGTGACACGATCAGTAATGTATTATCCATTTCCAGAAAGGAGTGCTTTATTCCAACAAAATGTGACTGAGCAGACAGACTGTTTCTTGTCATTTATAATTATACACTCAGGAATGGTAAATCATGCATCAAATATTTTCCCTTTTCGTCCTTCCCGGTCTTCATATAATGATTCATATTTAATGGATAGCCTATATCTGGTTAATGGCATTGGTAATTACTAATCATACTTGCATTAAATCATTTGACAGCAAACATCTTCATTGCTCACATTGCATAACAACAGAAGACAATGTTAAATATGTTTGTCAGTTTAGCAGTAAAATATTGATTTGAAAGTCCAAGTGATTCCTGGAATGCACAAAAAAAAATCAAACTGACTTGTTACTGAGTCGTCATCAATCATTTGCTAAACTTGGTACAGCTTACCAATAATCTGACTGCACAATAAATAACCTGTTGGCAAGATACTAAATAAAGGCCACAATTAGAGCAATTAAAGAACACTTTACAATCACATTATGGACAGTTGAATTTGATCATAATGTCCATTCGCAACTGAAAAAGTTCAAAATCAAAATAAATTGTCATTTGCTATTGCTGTGATTCCATGTGAGTGATCACATCATCATCAGATAAGAGAAGAGATGTCATTGCAAGATGTCATTGGGAGGGGCAGGGATGAATTGCGGACCTGGCCAATGGGGCCAGTGCCCATGGGCCCTTGGTTACCAGCAGTCCGGGGGGCCCAGGGCTTTAACTTTAAAATGTACAAAAATATTCTGATATAAAATCAGAAGTGTACTAGAACATACTCTATATATCTCTCTAGGCCCATTTTGTTGGATCATTTTTTAGAAAATAATAATAATGATGGGGTGGTGGGCACATTGGTCTTTCTTTCTTTATTATAACTTCAAGGAAGATGGGCAGTTATAATAATTACTTTTTCCAATACCTTTCACACAAAGAAAGGAAAGCTCAAAAAGTAGTTCAAATAAATACTTATTTAATTAAATCACAGCCTTTAGCACTAAACCAACTATTTTAGTTCATTTGACAGATACTTTGCCAAAGCAACATTAGAGATATACAAATATTTTAAATTCATTTTGAATCTGTGGCTGGATTTGACGCCTCAGAGGGAGAACAGTTTGAAAATTCATGATCATCATAACTTCCACTCTCTAGTACAGTTAAAGGGAAAGAACTGAATAAATGGGGGGTCTTTGGGGAAGGGGCTCTTGGAGATAATTGGCCCCGGGGCCTTTACAAGTCATAATCCATTCCTGGGGAGGGGAGGTTATTTTGATTAAAAATTACATAGGCACATTAATTTTTTTTTTTTTTTTTTTACTGATGTGCATGGATAAATAATTTATAATAAATAATAACAAATAAAATAATGGTTGATTTTTTACATTTACAGTAGCGAGTAGCCTACTCTGGTCATTTTCAGCATGCTCTTAAATTAAGCTTGACTTTAAGATTTAGTTCTCAATAATCCTGCCACACATTCACTTTCACACACAAAAAATGTCCACAATACGTTGAATAAAAACTATATACCCTACAGGGTTTATATAATGCTCTAGTATCTATAATAAAGCTAATTGACAGATGCATAACTATCGAAAATAAGGTGTTCTTTACACTTTAAGGGCATATTAAAACGCAATGTGTTCACAAACATTAACAAAAATACATTCAACGCACGTAAGCTACATAGCCTACAGCCGATGTGAATGTACAAAAGCACACACACACACACTTTCACTGCTGAACGGAAACTAAACAAATTGCATGATGGGAGATTAAAAAAATCTGCTGTGGAAGATAATATCAACGGGGAAAACAAAGAGCATGGCTTCATTAACTTTCTCACAAGGGTAACTATCGTGTGCCATGAACTAATAAAAACACATGCCCTTCACATAACGGTTAAAACTCATCCAAATGTGAGTAGGCTACGCACGACTTTCTTGTAATCGACTTGCCTGTCTCATTGCCAAATGAATGTGACACCTCAAAACGAAAGGACAGTTCACAATTCGGGAAGAGGTATGGCTTTAATAACACAACCCTGCTTGCTTTATTGAAATCTCCAGTCTCGGCGACAGACCTGTCTCAGTGTTTTAATCATTAACTCTTCGTAACGTAACAGAAACCCAACAGAAACTTTCACCCACAGAAACCCAATTGGCTCTTCAATCACGAGCCCAAAAGAAGTAGGCTATTGCTTACAGACCAGCGCTCAAGTTCTCCCCATAACGGTAAATTCAACAGCCTGATGAAAACTTTCTCCCGGAGCGTGCGCTTGCGTTCCGCTGAGCGCTTAATAAATGTCAGAATTCACTTCACATGGTCGAACGCGAAGAATTATGGAGCCGCATTCGCTGGACTCTGGAATGGAGCTGGAAATGTGAGCTGGACTGTCCAGACTTGACAGGCGGACTGGAGGGGGGCTGGACTCTCAGCCTGTTGATCCGATAAAAAAACAGGGTGCAAGACCTAGGGGCTTGCGAAACACCGGTGCCAAACGCGCACTGTCTGAACTAAACGGGAACCTTTTAAATTAGATCAGACATGTCATATATTTCAGAATCAACAGGAGCAACGTAAACGGCTTTAATTCAGCGTGAAAAGTGCAGCACAGTGAAGCCTCAACAGGGTCAACCGTGGACATTCGTTTATAAACAAATATGCTGTTAAAACAACAACATTTGACATCGACAAACAACATTTAAGACGCACCGAATTCGCACAGATGCATTAAACGTACCTCGGCAGGTCTTCTAAATCCGCTGTCGTTTCGCATAAAAGTACAGCAAAGCTCCAGTTAGCGGCTACGACCCAGAAAGGCAACCTTTCTGCCCCGTCTATCTCAACCAGCAGTGGGTTATGCAGTTTTTCATGTGCTTCTTCTACCCCTCCTCTCGCTCTCTCGCTCTCTTTGGCGATGTCGTTCGTTTGAGTCGAATCGCATCAATGAATCGGATGAACCGTTTCACAAAATCTCTCTAAACGATTCTTTAATATGTCAGAGCGGTTCTCGAGTCAACAAATCACTGGACTGAGAACCGTCTCTTTCGGCCATTTCCGATTCGTAATGAACAACATTAGCCTACATGAGTGAGCTCATAGCAAGAGCATTGGGACCGAGAAGTAAATTGATAAAAAAAATAAAAAAAGTAATAGAAATAATGTTTATTTGAATGACATTTTTAATCAACACCCATACGAAACATTTGAATAAATATGGTTTTATCAAAACGTGCAAAACTTTTTTTTGCCAAAAGATGTGCATGTTTTATGTACCTGAAAATGATATGTAGTTTCTACATTATTTTGTTTTCAAGGTGAATTAAGCCTGCAAACAAACTGAACTGGGACACATGCGATTTCATTGAACCCCTTTATAACCCTCAATTGATGTTAATAATATGATGAACGTTTTAGCACGTAAAATGCCAAGCTGGGGCATCAGGGGCAACGTGATGGTGCAATTACGTCACGATGCAAAGAATCAGTGTGCTCTGAATATGTTCTTTTAAACGAACTGTTTGAAAGAATCGATTCGCGGAATTGAGTCGGACTTCCCAGCAACTACTCTCTCGCACTTCTAACCGCCCGTTTCCGGTGTTGTTTCCCTGATGAGAGAGTCGTTTATGCAAGGAAATGTAAGGTAATGTAAATGTACAGTAGTTCGCTATAGTCGTCTATAAGGCCCGTGCGAACATTGATAGGCGAATTATTATTTTGTATGTGCAAAAGGTCTAATATGAGCGCCGCGGGACGGGGGTGGGGCTATAAAATATAAAGACGGTTAGCGGAGCGCGAGGACTGCTGATTGACTGCTGATAGCGGTTACGCGTGACTCGAGTCAAGCTGTCTTGGGCTGAGTCTGAGGGATATAACCATAGATAGCCTTTATTATGGATATCTATGGATATATAACCATAACGCGGGGGAAAAAAAACTGTTTACTTTGAGCTGTCGAAGCGCGCATACTGATGACGAGTTCAGTTCTAAAAGTGATGTGGGTTAATTCCTTACTGTCTATGGTTTTAATTCCCACGCTCATAGAAAACCTGTAATTATAAGGCAATGAGAATTGTGCTCTGATAAGTCTTGGAAATCCATAAAATCTTATATATATATATAGAGAGAGAGAGAGAGAGAGAGAGGCCTATATTTGAAGGTTAACTTTCTGACAATTAACTCCCATGGTCGTCAGAGAATTATAAGACATTTGCACATTCATTAAATAGTTTCCATTATATACATACATAATATTATAAATATAAACTCATATAATGTGAGTTTCACTCCCTCAGTAGGGCGTTTTAATAACTTGGACTTTTTTTGGGCGTGTAGTTTAAAATGCCATACAATAACCTAATTAATGCAAATATAATACAACAATAATGGCCAGAGGTAAATCCAGTGGCGTTATATGCGTTTGCCACTAAACAAACTGACTTCAGCTGCTAGCTCAGCACTTTTAGCCGGTGTAGCAGTCGATTCTGTTCCCTACCGGAATTCCTGTTCCCCCTGACAACGCATGCGTAGCAGTTGCAACGAAGCTCAGCTGGATGTACGGAAAGCGAAAAAGGCCAAAAGCATTGGCGCAACATTTAAATGTCTTGATACACTGCAGCATAATAAAATGGTTCTCGCACTCCAATCATATTTCTGTGAATTAATTTAATTAATTTAGCACTTGTTCATAGTTTTTGTATTATGTCTGAATATATTCAGTTGAATTGTGCCCATACAAATCGCCTTATGTGTCCATGTTGACATCCAAACTCAATGCCTCATATTATTGTCTTATTATTATTTATAAAGATTGCAAAACGTCAGAGATGACAGGTTTATGATATACAACTTTGTAAACAATATAAAAATATATTAACAACAAGTTCAATGTCACCAAAATACACACGTGTATTTGTGTATGGGAAAAATAGTTCCTCAGTTCCATTATAGTTCCATTATTGTCACAAGGGAAACACATTTTCAGGTGACACCTTTTGTTCCCTGTATGAAATAAAAATAATGAAATAAATATGAATAAAACCATATATTGCTATTACTACCTTTATTATTATTTTTGACATGCAAGATATAGGCTATGGGTGCAACATAACAGTCTAATCATAATTAATTCAATTTCAGAGGGCACTAATTAAATTAATAAATTACCCATATTAATAAATGGTGTTCTAAATTGGGGAGATGACCACACAACATTGTCTCCTGAATTTTTATTCTTGCTGGCACATTCCAACAATGGATCCAAAAATGTATGGGGAAATCATGAACTACAAAACTCAAGGCACATACCCATTTGCATTAAAAAGACCATACATATGTAATTCTCAGACGTTCCTCCAATTTCCAAATTGATGGCAATTAATTCCAAATGATAATTATTCTACACAGTGGAGACAGCTCTAGATAACTCTACAGACAGGACTCAGGAGTGAGGTATAGTGATACAACAAGACTTGATACAAACAAAAAGCCCATACTTGTCCATGGACTATAGCCTTCTTATAATTAACTTGCCAGGAACTAGAACATCAAAAATAACCTATCCTGCAATTTCAGTTTAAATTAGCCTATTTCTTTCATTGGGCCTTTGTAAAGGGGCCATCTAAATTGTTGTTTAGATTTATTTTACTAAAGCTAATAAAGCTATTTCAATAGATGGCCAACTTTACTACCTCTCCTCAAAAAATGGAATATATGTGTTTCTTGCAATAAATAACAATATCAGTCTTTCAAAACAAGCATTATTTATTTTATAATATGAGACATTAAAAGCACCTGTGAAGTGATTGTGATTCAAATAGTCCTGCACTAGAGGCTTATCTGTATTTTACAGTCTATGGTATTAACCAGAGCCTTAATAAAACATCACATTGAAATTGGTAATACGTTTTAAATTTGAAAAGAAATAACCTGGATTGAATTGACAGATGGGAAAACTCAATTAGGGCTACAAGTTTCAGAAATAAAATACAATACTTTTTTAACCTTTTGGCTTCCCGTACATCCAGTTGTGCTTCTTGCTCGTCATTGATATGCTTGCTCGTATTCAGTTCTGATGGTACGTATGGTAACTCGGCAACTACGCATGACTTGTAGTATGATTGCGTAAAGGGAACAGGAATTCCGGTAGGGAACAGAATCGACTGCTTCACCGGCTCAGGAGGAGAGTGTGGCTCTGGGAAACGGCCAGATCTGGAAAAAGATCCACTTATGGTGACCCCTATTTCTCCTGTCCTCTGTCTTTAGAAGACGGAGAAAAATATGTCCGAGACGAGCGGACAGCCGGACGTGAACCCGGATCCAGGTTGGACACGCACGCAGCTTTGAGATGGACGCAAACTGTGATCAAAAGGCAAGCGGGCATGACGGGATGATAAAGAGCATGATATTTGAATAAATCAGTTTTATTAGTTGGAGGCTATTTGGAAAAACTCAAAAGCTCATATTACAAATAAAAAAGTTCGCCTTTCAGTGTCTTTTCCAACCATTCTATCTGCAGGCTCGTTCTTTATGGGCTTGAATTAAAATTGGTGCAGTTGCATTAGCTCCCAAGCACACGCTAATTAAATGAGTGATTAAATCAGCCGCATTCAGTAGGTCATTATTGCCCCCTGCTGGTTAAACTATATAACTACAGTCACAGGCATAGAGGTTGATCAAACATTGATTACCGGTATTCTTGTTTGACTTGGCCGAGTGAACTGTAGACAAGCACGTCGTATATGGTTGAATTTTTAAATTACATTTCAAGGTAAGGAGAATCAAATAGCAAACATGCCAGTATTGGAGTTTAACAATACAAATATCAGCTGCAGTATGTGAGAGTGAGTGAATGCAGGTCAATACTATGGTGTAAAAAACACTTTTCCCTTATTGCAAGAAAACTATTAAGAAGAGCAATGGCCTCAAACACAGTTTCCCATTCAGGTGCAGCAAATAAACAACCTACACTGGCAGAACTCCGTCCTGGCAAGATGAAAACACAGATTCAGCATATTCTCTCTCTCTGAGGGTGGGGGATCCGTGGAATCAGAGGCCATGGATTTAGTCTCCTTCATCCAGAGTGTATTAACACAAGGCATATTAAATAAAAAGTATACTTTGCATCTGTTTATCATTATTTGAAATTCTCAAATGCAGCACTCTTTCAATCTTGATATGAAGCATGTGCATGCATTTACACGTCCACTCCCCTATTAATAAATAGCAGTTAATTCAATAGCACTATGTTTAATGCCACGTATGAAGGGGCTCATGAAAAGCCAATGAACTTGGTCTTTAAATAATTCTCATGTCTTTATAATCAATCAATCAATCAATCAGTGTCTCAGAGTAGCCAATATAACAGCTTTATTTCAGAAGGGATTTGTTTCTGCAAAACATATTCAGTGTTAAATTATTTGTTTCTACAATGCTTGTGATGAATAATTGTGGAGAAAAAATATACCGTAACATTTACAATTATACAGTTACCTTATTTTAAACTATCATGGAAAATGACATGAAGAGCAGAATCAATATCTTAAAAAGATAGGAATCAAAATAGTGAGGATTGTTATTAATGGCACATCCTTTGTATAAGCTGTGAGAACATTTCTCTGTAGAAAATGACCATGATTTTGCTGCATTTAAAAGAGATTATAGACTGATTTTTTAAATTAAATTTCAGAATCAGTACAGCTTCACATAGAGCTTGTCAGGAATGGTATATACTCGAACAAAGACCACGGTGCTGTATCATGGAATAGGAACAAACAAAGAAAAAAGTAACAATGCAAATAAAAATCCTGTTTGTTTGCCTCTTGCATAAAGACAACACAAATTAAACCGATGTATTCTCAGTCCTCCTGAGTCACCGGTCTCCATAAAAATGCAATTATTTGAAAGTATAAACATCATTACTGCAAACCTAATAAACAGCTGGACGTCTGATTAAAGAACCTTGACGAAAGGTCAAAGCACAACGTCCAATGCTCTCTCCATCTCTTTTTAACCTTTACAGCAGAATGGCTGTGGTAATGACAGCTAGACAGAGAGATAAACACTCAGTAATTACCATTTGCGTAAAGGCAGATGAGATTCATTCAGGAAGAATGACCTTTAAATATCCACTGAAACACAATCACTTAATTTTGTTCCACTGGGTCTGGGATAAAATGCCCCTACAGGACAGGGCAATACAGGGGCATTTATTACAGGGACACCTTGTAAAAGCCAGTCCTGATTTCCCTAACTGTAGTTCTAGTCATCTTTTTTTATTAGTTCCACTTTCTGATGTTATGGTAGCTGAACATATATACAGTATGGTGACACACTACTGTTCAGAAGTTTGGGGTTGGTATGATTTTTAAAAGTTTTTGAGAGAAGTCCCCCCAAGGCTGTATTCATTTGAACAAAAATACAATACAAACTGAAAATTTGTGAAATATAATTTGATCTGTTTTATATTTTAATGTTATCTATTTTAATGCTGAATTTTCAGCATCATTACTCCAGTCTTCAGTGTCAGATGATCCTTCAGAAATCATTCTAATATGCTGATTTGCTGCTCAAGAAACATTTATTATTATTATCAATGTTAATATCTTTGTGGAGTCCATGCTAGATTTTTTTTCCATTATTGTTTTGATGAATAGAAAGTTAAAAAAGAACAGCATTTTTTTTTAATATAAATCTTTAGCAACATTACAAATGTCTTTACTGTCACTTTTGATCAATTTAAAGGTATTAATATATTTATAAAAAAAAAAAAAAAAATCATACAGATGCCAAACCGCCTCAAAGGGATACTCCACCCAAAAATGAAAATTCTGTCATCATTTGCTCACCCTCAAGTTGTTGCAAACCTGTATGAGTTTCTTTCTTCTGCTGAACACAAAGGAAGATATTTTGAAGAACGATTGGAACCAAACAGTTGTTTGGGACCATTGACTTCCATAGTATTTTTTTTTTTTTCTACTATGGAAGTCAATGGTGCCAAACAACTGTTTGGTTCCAATCGTTCTTCAAAATATCTTCCTTTGTGTTCAGCAGAAGAAAGAAACTCATACAGGTTTGCAACAACTTGAGGGTGAGCAAATGATGACAGAATTTTCATTTTTGGGTGGAGTATCCCTTCAAGAACACAAAGAGCTGATGACTGTTTCTCATCAAGAATTCATTGTACAATAAAGAGAATTTACATAGTGCAGTGTATATATATATATATATATAATATACACACTATAAATTGAGAGTAGAAGGAAGGATAGATACACAGACTGGGAAACAAACTCAGACTGACAGACGTTTAAAATGTAGTTACACAATGAAGAAACATCATTTTCCATCATATTTCCGTTTGAAGCGCTACCTTACATGACGACACAACAGATCAGTGAATTGAACAAAATTATAAATATCTGTATATATATGTGCATGTATGAATGTGTCTCTCTATATATAAGATTCACCATCTAATTGTTACAATTATAGTGCAAGATTTGCTTGCTAAGTTAGCGCAATAAACATCACATCTAGGACACTGTAATATGGTGGAAATATCACATTTGCTCATCTGTGTAATGTGTGTATATATATATATTCTTCCATTCACTTCCCGAAGAAATCCAATAAAAGAGTCAAATATTTTTCAGTAAAACATTAAAATACAGTATATTTATATAAACCAGAAGCTAAAATGGACATTATAGACCTGCATGCACAAACTTATCATCTGACCATAAATGATAATTCTGTACCAATCCAGATTTGAAGTTTATGTTCAACACGGTACAAGATCATGCCGGGTTTTGGCAGCTTTAAAGTACTGCTTGTCAATACTACTGTAAAGTTAACTCCCCTTCACACTCATTTCAAAAGATCAACATAAAGAATGAAGAATTCACTGGCCATATGCTATGCTAACAGATCAAAATACGTTTCATGTATACTAACACCAGTGGACACTGCAATACAAGTGAAAGTCATGGCCAAATGTCTGCAATTAAACAGATTACATTTTTTTTATATAATCTTTATATTAACCTTCTTTGACAAAGGCCAAAAAAAAAGCTAAAAACTCCTGTTATTGGTCTTCAATGCCTCATGTAATAAAAGACAAATAAAACGTACATCTTAACCATTTAAAAAAGAATGAGTTCAATTCAGTATTATCAACGTTGATATGAGGATGAAAAGTTAACTTTCTAGCGCGTTTGCACGCTTGTGGCTATGCCTGTAAAAACTGAAAAGAAAAGAATTGGCTCGGAGAGAGAAAAGGGCTCTAGCACCTAAGCACATTATATACATGACAATTAATTTTCCCTATGTAAATAACATAAAAAAACTAAACGTTGGAAACCTAAGCATTTCGGCAGGTGTCCATATCTGAGATTGCTGAGGCTGCAAACCCTTCTCTCATGGGTGAGGGATGATCGGAGCTCAACTCCATGTCCAGAGTGAGGGATTCTGGGGGGGTTTAATAAAAACACCATTAAACAGAAGTATTATGAGACATTACAATGTCTGAAAAAAAAAATACTGTATGCATAGGTGCATTCACGCCATCTTGTAATTACCATAATTACAAAATCTCAACCTGTAAAATGCGCTAACATTCTCGTAAAACACACAATTACAACTTGTAGGCTAGAAATTTTCAGAGAGCTCCTATTTGTGCCACGTGACCACTGTAGATTCATTTAGGCTTTGACAGTGTTGGCATAAAAATGCAGAATTTCCCAGTCCAGGAATCAATGTCACTTGTCATCTCGAAATTATGGTAATTATGACAAGGCGTTAACATGCAGCACATATTGAGAAAGCTGTTGAAATTAATCATGTGACTCACCGAGAGGTCCCGGATTGGCCTCCGTGGCTTCATTGTGCATGAGAGAATCGAGTGTACGAGGGGACATCGGGAACAAATCACTTGTGTTGCCAGAGTTAGTCCTGCAAAAGAAAGGCAGCGTACATTAGACATGACACACACGCAATCATTACGTCTACCATCACATATAGACATCATGATTTGGAAAGATCTGAAAGTTCATTCACCACATCATGAGTTAACCTTCACTCCAATATTCACATGTATCATAAACACACAACTTACCAAAACACACACATACCCACACTCAAAGTCACACACATGAGCATCACTTGCGTAATATTAGGTAACTAAAAGGGATTGTTCGCCCAAAAAAATGAAACCTCATGTCGTTCCAAACCTGAATTACTTTTTTTAATACTGTGGAGAATTAAATATATTTTGACAAATGTCTCAGTGTCTTTTTGTCCATCCAATGGAAGCCAGTGGGCTCCAAAGTTGTCATGCGGTTGGAACCACATAAAGGTGAGCAAATGATGGACTTTTCTTTTTAGGGTGAACTATAACTTTAAGAGATTTTTGACAACTCAGTCAGGTGTTAGAGGCAGTGGATTCAACACAGTGCACTGAAAATGTATATTACTACATAGTTGACAAGCTGTGATGTAATGTGAATCTGGAGTTGGAGTTGTTGCTTGTCCACTTTTATTTCCCCGTCCTTTTTACCTGAGCCGTGAATGCTATCGGAGTATTATGGAAAAGCTAGTGTACTAACATTACATTTTTGCCATTCATGTTTGAAAAAAATTATAATAATAAATTGTGAGAATACATGGCTACTTTAGAATGGCCATTGATAGAGGAACATGCTATGCTTTTTAGTTTTTTATAGGTGGCTGAATTTACTGAATAAATACTGACATATTGTATATCATAGCCTACTTAAAATCTGACCTCTTCTATGGTGCTCTGCTCGGCTACCCATTGAAGCATCAAGTCTTTATCTGGCGAATGGTTTACCAGAGGGCAAAGTTCACCCATGCCTATTTGTTAACACTACAAACAGCTCATACGGGCAGTTTGTTTTGGTAAAGCTGCATTTCTACACTATTTCCTGCTTGTGTTGAGGCAAGAGAACAAGCTCAAAACCTCTGAACCTGAAGTCTGCACTTAAAACACTAGCAGAGGTGCAGATTGCAGAAGTCTGATCCAACGGCAATGGAAAAGCTAAGAGTTCATACTTCTGGGTAAGTGGTCATGAACTCACAAACGATACATCAAATGATACAAATGTCAAACTAGTATTTTCAGATCACTCAAGACATTTAGTTGTTGATCATGTCTAGTATGTCAGGCTAATGGAAAATTAAACCAGGCGTTGTTAATTTCATGGGATCGATACTTGCTGTGTGTATTTTCTGTCTAGAGGAGATCTCAAACAAAAGTGATCCTAAAAACACTTGTTTTGCTCTAATTTCGGTTTAACCAGAGTAATTTAAAACAAAAGGTGGTAAAATTTCACATCAAATGTTATATCAATATACCTGTCCTGAGATGCAGGCTGCCCAAGAACAACATTATCAGACTTAAAAAACATTAGGCAATAGACACACATGCTACGTTCTGCTCATATTGCAAGTATGAGAAAGGGTATAAGAGTTGTGATGGAGCTTTAAAGTATTTTTTACACTAAACCATATTAGACTTTGTAAGTGTTTTTCCAGAAACACTTTCTCACGCCAATACCATTTCCGGAGAAATCACTGTCAAAGATAAAAGAGCACTTTAAAAAGATTGTCAATAAAAGTTTAAGCCAAAAACTTGTTTTTCTTCCTGGATCATTAAAAGCCCTGACTATCTTACAGCATCCCGAGCAAACGCTAGATGATGTGGTCATTTATTACCACACAAGGAAAGAACATCTCCAAATTTGACATTTCATTTGTTCAGATTTTGACTGCTTCTTTAACCTGGAGTCTCATAAAATGTGAATTTGCTAATAGAGATGTAACCCATTGGGGAAGTTATGTCAGCTATTGTTGAATTCTATCCTGAAAAAAAATGTGAAAAAACTCTGAGCACAAACGAGTGCAGATAATATTCTTGCAGAAGCTGAGGTTTGGTTAGCATGGTCCAGTTAGCCTCTTTTGGTAGATGAGATGTTACAACTAACTTTCTCCATTGACAGCCATTCAGAAGTAGCAAGCAATGTATGTTTTTTGCAAGCAAAACATTAATCACAAAGTATATAATTAATGTTAAATAATGTGATAAAACTGTAAATCTCCAGATGGTCCTGTGGCCGGCAAAAGAGCCACAGGTAGGCCTATTATGGACCTCACTGGTTCAGAAATACAGTGTGATGTGATATAAACAGTGACAACAGTTATGAGTGGATGTGCTACATCTAGTGAGGTCATTTGTGTGGTTGTTGCTCAGTCTCCTTGTCTTCTCTCTCCCCTATCTTGCCACATTCAGGTTGTCAAAGCCTTCTAAGAGACAGTTCTCAACGTCCATCACTGTTACTTTTACTGATATTTTGGGTTGAAATTGTGTTTTCATCATTTTGGGGATACATTGAAATTTTCTGTGGACACGGACATTATAAGGGTCACATGTGTGACATGAGTCTCGAAGACATCATTGTTTAACGTACTGAGGGACCAAACCATTTATACATCACATAAAATGCAACAATCATAGCACTCTCCTCTAAGGGGGAAAATAGAAAAAACTGGAAGATGGGGAAAAGAAATGAATATGGGAGAGAAGGTAAACACTTTTTTAGTGCAAATATTTTACATACTGATACAGAAGTTAGCTTGTGACCTTAATTAAAAAAAATCCCATGTCTACTGCAGAACTAGTTCACCAACACAAAACTGAGATTCAGAGACATGAACAACAGCCATTCCAGCCTTTTAACTTGTACAAAAGTTCCAGTGACATCCAGACCTCTTGTTATAAAGGGATGAAGTGAGTAAACAGAAACCCTTGGTCAAGCTCTAGAGATGTTAAAAGGAATGATCTATGTTAGCAGACAACTACAGGAGTGTGTTTGACCACAAACATTCACGTCTCATACACACACATAGAGCAGCTCCCTAGTGCCTACCCAGGGAAGCCGTTCCCAAACAGCTCACTGTCCGGGAAGTCCATGAAGACAGAAGGACACCTATGGAGAGAGGTCAGTTTATAGCCTGCCTAACACACGCACACACACACACACGCACACGCGTACATACATGACCTCCAGTAAATCCAACCCCTCTACAAAGACAGAAAGCATTTGTGATTCAAGTAAGACTGAGTTTGAAGCAGCTTTTATTCCATCCAAATGTTTTTCTTGTAGCCAAGCATGTTACCTAAAATGGCATTTACATTTTGATGTATTACAGTTTATATACCATGTCCATTAACCATTGCTCCCATTATCTTAAAGTCAACATAAAAAACATTCAAAAATCTGGTGCCGTTTCAGAGGCAGAGCAAGTTATATTTTTGAAAGTCTAATATGGATATAAATATAGGAATATGAAACATTACAAAAGACATTTGGAATAATCTACACTGAAAACAAGGAATTGTTCAAAATATCATCCAGGAACGTATATTAAGGTAAATAGCGTCAATTGTTATTTCATGTTAACAGTGGAAATTTATTTCTTCATTTTGATTTTTTTTTAAATTAGATTTCTACATTATTCTTTTTTAAATTTAAAAACTCTAAGTTCTGAAATCAAAGTGTTTACACAACAGTTCACCTCAAGTTGTGCGCTTAATACATGTTAATGACAACAGTAAGCCTGAACCTCCTTTAATTAGCTGTTTTGTTGATCATGTGCTTTTTAAAGCATGGTTTCTCTCTCTTTCTGTCTTCTTGTGCAAGATTGTGGTTTAAAGGATGGTGTGAAGGGTCCTTGGAGGATTCAGTAGTGGCTACATCCCTGATCCATGTTGAAAAGAAAACTGAGAGGAGTACTTTGCATGTGCTCCTGCCTGAAGAGTCACCAGAGATTTCAAAGTTTACAAGAGGACAGAGAGAGAAAACAGAGACTACAGCAAGATCAATCATTCACACACACACATACTGAGGTGAGGAGGAAAGGAAAGCTACTTACGGGGTGACACAGATGAACTTGGTCTTCAGGTAGGGCTGAATTACTAAAAGAAAAACGATCGCCGTGTTATTAAACAGGGAGAGTGAATAGGATTTTTGATTAATAGGAAGTTCAAAAGAAAATAAATAACAATAACAATGTAAAAGTCTTCACTGTCACTTTTGATCAATTTATTGTGTCCTTTATGAATACAAGCATTTCATTTCATACACTACCATTAAAAAAAACTGGGATCAAAATAACCAAAGAATAAAATCATGCTTTTGTATTCTCTCTCCTCTTATTCTTAGATGATTTCCTCAAAGGGAGAACGTTTCTGGTAAACCACACCCTTTCAGTGCACTTCCAATACAAAAATAGTCTCCAAGATAAATGAGAATGAAATGAGACACACTTTTGCCAAGCAACAGACCGATGTTATTCTAAGCCAGAATGAATTCTATTCCCGCAAAGGACACTCACCACATCCAGGGTCAGGGAATTCAGTATCAGGCTGGGCCTCGGGGCGGCAGTACTTGCCAAACGCCTCCTCTTTGGGGATTTCGGGGTAGAGGTAGACCAGCGGCGAGACGAGGATGTTGGTGGCATCCATGATCTTGTAGCCCATGATGATCTCAGCGAAAGACATGCTGTTGAGCTGCTGCTTAGTGTACGGTTCAACTGACTGGATCTGGGTCTTACCTGCACATACAAACAGGAGCACAAATGCTTCACATATTCAACTATACAACTACAGAAAAATGAAATAAAGCAAAAACATGTATGAACAAAAGTATAAAACTTTTATTTCAACATTGACTTGGTACCGAAGTACTGACACTTTTGACATGTACATGGCAATGCATTCACCATTGATGTCCTTCTCAACCCAGGTGAAGGTAATTCCTCCCTCTTTGCTGCTTTCACTGAAGCGTAGCAGGAATGTCCCAGGAGGCTTTGGACTCAGGATTGCCCTCTCTCTCTCTTTACTGATGAAGCCCATAATATACCTGACGCACACAAGAGCTTGATGTAACCACCCAGGCAGTGATTGATGTAATGAACTATAAATACCGCATGGATGCACACAACGAGTGCAGCAGGAGTTCTCACCCTTCATTCCATAGAGCCAAAATATATTTCTTCACTAGGTCAATAATGTTGTCTAGCCACACCCAGAATGAGAAACCTTTTCCTGCCATGTTCTCCTGCGAATCACAAACAGAAACAGAACAGCAATGTTTACGGAAATCTGATGGTTTGATTTGCTCTAAAATGAACTCAGGACAAGGAACAAAAAGTTGTTATAGAAACATACTTTGCAGAACTTGGCCCATGTGATTTGGCAACCGGAGTAGTTTACACACGGACCTACACAAAATCAGAAATGCGTAAGTAAACAGAGATGCACAAAGAATGTTAAGATATATACTGTATTACCACACAGAGAGAGAACGAGAAAAATAGTTTTGGGTCAGTAAGATTACTTTTTTTAAATAAATGCCTACTTTTATTCAGCAAAGATACAAACGATAAGGTGACTGTAAAGACTATTTCAAGAGTTCACCCCTACATATAATCAGATATAGTAAAAACTGTGCATATTTGGGGTGCTGTCTGAGGTGAGGTGAGGTTTCCAAGCTCGGCCCGAACTCAAGAGTTCCCCGTACTTGTTCATTTCCTATTATCACCGTATTTACAGATTACAATCTGTTTTGTAAAAAGCGCTATATAAATAAAGGTGACGTGTCTTGACTTGACCGTGCTCCTCTCGAATAATGTTAATAAAACATCATTTCATGCTGTTAATTTGAAGGAAAATATATGTAAACACAAAAATATGAAGCAGCACAGCTGTTTTAAGCATTATTAATAATAATAATATTAATAAATGTTTCTTGTGCCTCAAATCATCGTATTAGAATGATTTCTGAAGGATCATGTGACACTGAAGTAATGATGCTGAAAATTCAGCTTATAAAATTGTAAAAAATTATTAAATATATTCAAATAGAAAAGTTATTTTAAATTAAAATAGTAATATTTTAAAATATTATATCATTGTATTTTTGATCAAATAAATGCAGCCTAGGTGAATATTAGAGACTTATTTAACAAATCTTGCCGACCCCAAACCTTTGATCTGTAGAGCATGTTCAGAGGCACATTTCAGCAATTTAAAATCATGTGATCAATAATACAGAAACCACTGATTTTGTATATATACACATACATATACAATACATATATATAGGCATAACAATTTGAGAGAAAAGTTTCTTTTTTTTGGTCAAAATCCTCCAGCATATTTATTTATTTACTGTTTATTTATTTCCAGGTTTAAATAACACACACACATACCCAAAAGTTTCTCTGCAAGTGTGGTGAGCTGCTCAATGGTAAGTCCTCTTTTGGTTGTGGATGAAAACTGCCAGCTGAGCACCTCTGCCACCTGATCCCACGTTCCCACTGGAGGTTTGGTGAAGAAATTCACATTCTGTGAAAAAAAGGGGGGGAAATATTATACTGAAAAACCTCCTGTGCTAACAGTAAGTATGTCTTGCTGTGGATCCATTTCAAACCTTGGGATGGTTGGTCAGCATGTTGTACCACAGGATGGACGCCCATGCATTTGGCATTTGACAGATATTAGAGATGACCACCACTGGGAGAGAGTGCGTCTGGACAGAGATAAAGACATTTATTTATAATTTAGAAAAACAAATCCTATTTTTGTATTTTTGTACAGCCCACTCTGTTAGAAATCTGATTAGTGCAAATAGAGACCTGAGGTTGCATAATTATTAAGCAAACAGAGCTGAACGGCTTAAATTATCTTGTTTAACTAACCTGTGTAGGTATGTTACGTGACCCTATTGTGTCCATCCACAGAAAAGGAATGATTTTGCGTGTACTCTTATCAACTCATAATAAGCATCTAGGCAGCGCTATGTACGGTTATGGGTTTGATAAGAGACAGATAACCCAAGAACACGCTGCCTGGTAACATATTAATATCCTCCTACTGCTGGTACCATGGCAACAGCCTATTACAATGACCTTATTGGCTTTCAATACACTGAATCAATCACCAGTAGCAGTGTGATGAACTTAATCAGTAATGAGGGTTTAATAATATTATCATCTTTGATTTGATATACAGCTCAACAGTAAAGCGTCTTTGTGACAGGAATCCTGTCACGATAAGACACGTTTGACATTTTATTTTACTCTAAATTCTTGATAAAAATGAAAGAGTCATTTTTAGATTAACTAATCCAGTGCTGCTGCTGCCAGAAGTGTTTATGTGTAGCTTTTCACCTCAAGGTCGATCTTTAGTCCTTGGTGGTAGACCTCTGTCTCGAATGTGATCAGGTGAAGTTCTTCAGTCACTATCAGAGATGCCTGTAGTTCAGAGGGCAAAGCTTCGTCAATAGAAGCCCTAAATAAAATGAAAAACTGTAACAATGCTAATTATACAAATCCTTACGTCACTGTTGGTTCGACCTCCGTTGCCGCATCTCTGCTCTCGTAGAGTCTGAAAGACAGAAGAACAAGTCAGGATTATAATGCATTTCAAGCAACATCCAGTCAACAGCTGATCCAGTCTCCTTGAAGCTTGTATGGCACATTCGATGAATTATATTTTATATTAAGAAAGTTTGTTGGCACTTTATGTCCCAGGAGTTGATTCTTATGAAATAGTATATTTTAACTATGATTATCTAAAGAAAGAGTGAAATAAGCCATTTATTGAGTGTGAAAAATATGTTTTCTTGCTCACACAAATTATGACTGTCACAGTTAACAATCAATTCAGCCTCTAATAAAGTTGTTTCAAAAGTTAGTGTACTTATTTACTAAGAATAAAATAACAGCGTAGAGCTTGAGATTAAAGACATTCAATGCTGGACTAATTTAGGTTAATTTAAGTGTGTTTTAAGGGAGTTTAAATTTGGTTCAGAGGGCCAACAGTGTCCACAGTTGAAGAAACACACAAATCCAGAGAATATTCGGTTTTTAACTCAAAAAAAAAAAGAAAAAGAAATTGGCGGAATGGCTGAGCTTACCAGATGTTTGAACTCTGCTGACAGGCTGCCATTGTTGGATTCCTCCATGTTCATCACCTTCGTGTTGGTGCCAAGGATGTTGAACTTGCGTGAACTGGTGGGAAAGAAGCAGAACACTGTGTAATGCAACAACTTACAGGTACAAACAAGAGAGATACTTCCATGTACTTAAATATAATTTAATGATAGAAATTAAACTTCTACAAAATGGCTGAAATATTTATTTTACACAACTGTTTACTTAAAATAAGCTGATAATAATAATACATGAATTATCCATGAATAATGTCAAAAATCTGGCCAGCCCCAAATAAATTGGTTTATAACTACAAATAAACATGTGAAAATGGTAATGGAAATGGCATCTTTTTTAACCTCAGAACTCACCCTCGAATGGCTGCCACGTCACCTGACTCCCTGCAGGACATAGGTTGAAAAATGTTCAATTGGCATGTCAAAATACAACAAAAAATCATTTCGTTTCATAGACAGGAAATGGAACGTACTTGTCAATGCACACTTTGATTTTCAGCTGGTAATTCAACTCTGGGAATTTCACAAGTAACCTGAAAGAGAGGAGGGGGAAAAGTTCACAATTTGTGTCTAGACCTCCTTACTTTATGACTCACCTTTGTGTTTACCCACCTGACTTTGGTGGTGAACTGAACTCCTGTTTTGATGACAAGGGGTCGGTCAGGGTGCATGGGCATACAAGGCTGTCTCTCAACAACAAATGCACTGCAATTAGACAAGCGCACCACAGAAAACATCATTGATCAGATCCTGTTTCAGTAGTTTTTACAGTTAAACACACGAGTGGGTGATTTCAAACCTCTTCATAAGGTTGCGGAACAGGTCTACGATCTTCTCTTCCAGAGCAGGGCGGTGCTGAATAATTGGATCTCCTTTGTACGAGACCTTCTGTTGAAGCTCCTCCAGTTTCTTGATCTGCTGTCTTATCTGCAACTGTGACTCAGCCAAAGAGGTGATCCTGAAAGGCAAAGATTGAAAAGAAGGAATTAAGAAAGGTGGGATTCAAAAGCAGTCTGTGAACTGACTGTTTGTGTTTGTGCTGACTGTGTACCATGTCTCTAAGCGGTCCAGGCAGATGTTCGGTGGTCCTCCGATGCAAGCGATCTGCTGTCTCCTCTTCCAGTCGGCCAGTTCTTCATCGGTCAGATTTTTTTGCACAAAGTCCATGGCAGACAGCAGCCCTGCCATTTCAGTCACTATTTGCTGCAAAACAAAGAGCAAACTTTTGAACTTTTGACACATTTGTAAATGTTATGTAAAAGTAACTGGTCATTATTTTCAAGATTCCAGAAGTCAATGCCGTATTTTGTGCTGTATCTCACCCTCCTCAGCTGATCCAGAGCGCTCAGCATCTGCTCCAGCTGAGACATCTTCTGCCTGGTAGCTGCTGCCTGGCTGTTTCCATTCAGGTCCTGAGACAACTCTACATGGTGACAGATTTTAAGCGATTTTATCAGTGATTAAGACTAGTTAAGAGATTTTGGACAGCAACATGTACTCATCATACCTCCAGCACTCTTTAGAGTTTTGTAGTTGAAGTCAAAATCATCTTGCAGATTTTCCAACATCTTCATCTTCTGCTCCATATCCTGTATAGAAAGAGTAAGGGAGCTGAATGAGTGAGAGGGTGTACTCCAAAAAGGACAAAATATGAGACCCTCATTTTGTGCTCGGGGCAATATGTTAAAGGTGACCTATAATTCAAAATTGAATTTACCTTGGTATAGTCAAATAACAAGAGTTCAGTGCATGGACATGACATAGAGTGAATCTCAAACTGGACTGTTTTCGCGTTCTCATTTAATTCACGTTTATGAAAAACACCCCTGAAAAACGGTCGGTTCTCCACACAATACCGACTGTGACGCAATAGTCGGGATCATTAATATGTACGCCTCCAAATATTTGCATAATGCCAGCCCTCAATGCCAGGCGGAACTGCGCAGCCGAAGCATGGCAGTTGCTCAGTGTGGATGTACACATGAACACAAAAGTATTTTTTAGTTCCTTCATCTGAGCCTCTGAAGAAACAATGGGTTAATTTTATTTTCTCTGGAAATTTCCAAACATTTCACCGACTGTTTCCTCAACTTGGGCCAATACAGAGCTGGCCTCGGATCGAGCTACCAAGCAACACTTTCTGATGTGTAATTGTTCAAGTTCAGACAGGTAATCTTTCTCTCAAAATCGTTCAATACTCTTTATGCATCAGTAAGTCAAGCCAGTGACTATAATATCAGCTTCACATCGTTTCTTTTAGTAGGATGAAAATAATCGTATTTAAATTGTGAACAAATTATATACAGAAAGCGATCAAAGAACAATCTTTCCACACAGCGCGAGTTTATCTGGACACTTGCCAAACTCGTTATGAAATCAATGACGCACGTTACTGCACAACAAAGCTCTTACTGTATTTACATCATCGTGTTTGCATTGGGGAAAGCAGAGAGAATGCAGAAACTGCTTTGCAATGATAAGATCTTCATTCTCGCGATCAACACACTGTCATCTGCTCAATGCTCATCACGGCAACATTTTATGTGATGGGAATAGATCTAAATACTTTAAAAACATCTCACGATTCGTTAATCTCGATAGCTGTTATAGTAAAAACGTATAATAGCAGTAGTAAAAGTATTCGGGAGAGAGTTTCACATGTAATGCGTACTAGCTATTTCATATGCAAGCATGTCAGCCAATCACAGCAGTGGCCGCGGTTACACTGAATCCCACAGCAGACACGCCCCTTCAAACAGAGTGTTCAAATCAGAGGCTAAAAGCAGGCTAGGAAAAATGCCATTTATTTCTAAATTATGAATATTTTTTATCTAAAAAACATACTAACATTATAAGGGTAACCCAGGAAACATTATAAAATAATAAAAAAAAACATTCTAGGGCACCTTTAAATAAAGGCCTTTCAAACTTGGGCAATAAGGGGTTGCTAGATGGTTCGTGGAATGTATGTGTAACTCTAATTGCGAACAAAACAAACCAATGATTTTCAATTAAAGTGTGATTTGATGTACTAACCTGTACTCTCTTCCTGATGTCCTGCAGGTTGTGTTCCAGTATCTGCTGTTTTTCTGTCACCACAGTTCCTGTGGGATGGGCAACCTGGCCATCCTACAGAAGAGAAAGAAATTGGAGAAAAAGAAATCTAAATATATGTCCTTACAAAGCAGAATCCATTTCCAAGCAAAGTGTGTTTGACTTGAAATGACCTGAAAACTGGCCTGGTGAATAAAAATATAAGGATACTATGTGTATTTCAACAATGAATTTTTTTATGAATGAAATCTAGATGGAACGTTTAATAAAGTCAACTAATTTTCACTTAGTTTTCACATAGAAGTGCAACAAATCTGAAATCTCACCCATGAGTAAATACAGCATTCGTCTGTGCGTGTGTGTGTGTGTGTGTGTGTGTGTGTGTCTATACCTGCTGCACAGTGGTGGCCGTCTGCAGCAGACGCTGCTCTTCCCACAGGCAGCGGGCCACGATGCGGGCGATCTCCATGGGCTTCTCCAAATACTTGCTCTGCAGGTGCTGTTTGATGCGCCGCAGGTTGTGCTGGTACAGGACGTTGTTCTCCTGCAGGAAGCGGCTGTACTGCTGATCAATCTCACCCAGCAGGTTATGGAACACAAGCGTTGCGTGAGACTCCTTGTTGGCTGCATACGCCCTGTGGCGGACAGAAGCAAATGGCTCATGTGATAGGTAATGCACAGCTTCCTCCATTCCATGCATGCACTTGATAATTAGACGTGCCATTATTTATAGAATAAGCAACATCTAATACGGTAAGGTTCAGAAAATAAAAAATACGAACCCTGGGTTATATTGCAGTTCGATAACCAAGTCTTTTCGAGCATGTATAACTTCAAACTAGGATAGGGTTTTAGTTAGTGGATGGCCAATATGAGTTTAATGTATATTTATATATGATTCCAGGCCTATGCTAACTAAAGCTTTATTCAGATATTTGTATTTGTCTAAAGATGTCAAATTGCAAAAATGGACAAATAGTGAGTATTCTGAAAGTCCCATGTAGTCTTGTGCAGGTGTGTGACAGTGCAGCTTGCACATGACACATGATCTCACTTGTTCTGCTGTTAGCAAAAATTCCAAACTGCTGACCTCATCCAGCAGCAAAGAAACAAGTCATCGCTCTATCCACTACGCAAGAAATTCAAAAAGATCAGGATAATATCCTAGCACCAAAAAAGCAATGAGCAGACTAAAATTTTGGATATATAATGTCTAACGGCTAGTTCAGTCGCTTTAGCCTTTGCCAATTTAGCATTGTACACATTTGCACATTTTCCAGTGCCAACAAGGGCCCTGCATAATATCCAATTATGTGCCTAAGGTACTAAGCAATATGACAAAAAATGTTATAATCATGGTCCGAGTCATTTGATATTAAGCTATATGGTATATATTTTGTTTTGCAGTTATTTGCAGGAAATGGAGTGGGAAAAAAAATAACCATGTGGTAAAAAAAAAAAAAATTATAATCCAGTAAATTAAATACTTAAATGCGTATTGCTTTCCTTAATTATTTTTTCCTCTTGATGTGCACAAACTAAAACAGGTAGGATTATTCATATAACAAATAAATAAGGTTGGAATCAGTGCAAAAAATGTTTTATATTTCATTACTCTTTTGTAAATAACATAACAGTTTTTTTCCACAGGTATCTATCTACTCTGGTATAAAAAAATACATCAAAATCTATTGGTTCTTTACTGTCAAACAGTACCGTCAAACAACCCAGCCATATATGTGCCACGCTTATTTTAGCTTCTCTTTGACAACTGCAAATTGAATGATATCACGTAACGGGTGAGGACTGTTTCTCTATATCTACATAAACAATGGTTGGTTTACAAGCACAACAATCGCCACCAGTCTTTGACCTTAAGTTTTTATCAATAAATTACTGGCTTCCTTATACCACTGATGTTTGTCCCTTTGTGTGCTCAAACAAACGATCCATTCAGAAAGTTCTATGACACTGCCAGTAATGGCATAAACCAAACATGCCTAGGGCTAATTGTTTTGTTGTGTGTTTACTTCAATAACACTAACTAAAGAGATTGAGTGCATGAGATGGCCATGTGAAGGACAAAGACTTTGGAATTTCCAACAAACAGCACAAAATTTTCCAAAAAAGCAATATTCAGTTTAGAAAAATTCAAAAGAAAGGGAAAGAGACATTAATCAATTAAAATAAAAAGCAGTATGCATTAAAGCAGTGTTTCTCAACTGGTGGGTCACAGGACCGTTTTGACCGGCTTCTCGAACAAGAAAAAAAAAAAAAAGTAGGGCGGGACTTGATTTTGTCCACTGGTAATTGACTGAATCATTGTCATTGCCATATTGCTGTAATCTCATGTAAGTGACAGGTTGTCCCTCGCGCCAGTAAACACATCTTCAGAGAAGAGGAGTGATGTCACTGCAGGGGGGGAGGGGAAGTTAGTTATTTTGATTAAAGATTACAAGGTCACATGAATTTAATAAAAAATGATGTGCACGGATAAATCATTTATAATAAACGCTGCAATAATCCAATTGTCAATTTTGATTTTAAGGTGACCTTAAAGAGATACATCTCAGCTTCAGCATTATATCACTTACACTTAATACACCACGACTCAAAGGTTCTTTAAGTGCAATGCTGTCCCCTAGGGACTCCTCAGAGGTATTGAAAGGGGGTATGGGATAGCCTACTTCACTAGTTCAGTAACTAAATGTACTGACACAATTTAATTTTCTTGACTACATTTACCTCTCCATTTAAAGATGCATGCTGTGATACAGAGACTGAGAAGATGAAACCGGACATGAGTCATTTCAGAGTGACATGTTATAGTCCACAACAGAATCATAAAGAAGCCATTCACACTGATGCTGTGAAAAAACTCAGAAAACAAAAATGGCACTGGTTCGTGTTATTGTTCACAGCAGACTTTCCTGGATCACTTTTACGGGAAGAGGAATGACATCACCACAGATGATTCTAAGAATAAGGAAGTTGTAGGAAACTCAGAAGCGAAGACCAGGAGGCTTGGGTGTATCTTCAGCAGGATTCTTTATTGAGAACATGCTGTTTGACCCTGCATGCATCAAGTCTAACAGAGGGAGCTATACACTCTATTTTATAGGCATTTGAAGGGCTGACACAGTACTCAGGGGTGACATCTTTAGATCAAAGTAACAAAAGAAGAATGCAGGAAGTTACCACCGAATGTAAACTCCAGTAGACCCATCTACTATAAAAAATAATCATAATGACATTATCAAATGGTTTGAGTTCCCCCAGGTCAGGGGAACTAAGATTATGTTAACATTCGCACATAGTTTGACTCTCAATAGTAAGATCAGAGACTGGCAGAACCCCCTCACTGGAAACTCTAATCAGAAAACTGATGCCATCATGTTCATCTTGAATGCCCAATTAGGGCTGTGCGATATAGCTAAAAAATGTATCACGATATAATGTAATTATTGACATTTTTTATAACCTTTTTCTTTTTCTTTTTTAAAGACAAGTAGAAAAGTTTGAATTTAACCCACTATTTTTTTTTTTTTTTTTTATCCACATTATTAAGGCAAACAACAAATTATATTATTTTTAGCAGTCAAAAACTAAAATAAAATATAAACAAAACAACTTATTTATGTCTTATATTAAGATAAAAAAAAGTAGAAAATCCCAGAGAAATTTCCTTAATTTAAAAAATATATATATTTATTAAAAGAAAATTTATTTTAAATAAGCCAAGCTTGAGTTTTCCTACATTTTGAAACTTTTAGTTTTATAAATGGGGGTAATCTTTGAAGGATGAACAAATAATGTTTTGGTCATCACATTAAAAATAACACTTAACTATGATAATATTTTAGTTTTGAAGTGCTGGAAAAAGATGTGTGATGCGCTTAGAGCATTTTACTATTCCTGCCAAATGGTTAACTTACAGTTAGTGTTACTACATTAAATCCATGGTGAATGTTGCTGATCTGTGGACTTAAATAGCCTATAAATAGTTCATTCATGGCATAATGTTTCTCCTGGTTTCCACGTCAGCGCTGTTTGATCCGTTAATAACGGAGAAATGTGAATGCTTCTCACTAGATCTCGCAGCGATGTTATTACTTCAGCGGCGAATTCAAATGCTCAAATGCCTACTTTACTGGATCTCTTAGCGTTTCGTTCCGCTTTCATTACGTTTGCCATTTGATGTTGGGCAACGGTGTGGTGGTCACGCCAGCGATGTGCGCCCATTTTAATGAAAATATCAAACATTTTTTATATCGTTACCGTCCGACAATGGTGTACCGTCGATAAATACAGATACCGTTTTATTGACCAGCCCTATGCCCAATACAATGTAGTTCAACTTAGTTTTTCATGTGATGTTATGTCAGGACATAGGATCAGCAGATCTCAAACAGATTCTTAAATTTGTATTCCCACAAAGTCCACTACCAAACACAATATTTAGGAATGTGGTCAATAACTCTTCTCTTGGGATCAGAAAGTCTGTTGGCTTTAAAATCATTCTGCGAGAAGCAATCACCAGGAACGGACTCTTTCAAACTAGCACTCTTAAAAGTCAGCATGAAAATAATATTCACTCTTTCTATTTTGTAAATGCATGTTATGGATCTTATTGTGAACCGACAAACCTAAAACGTATCTTAACACCATAGTAAACAGGACTTAAATGTCTTCTCGATCTGCAGACCTCTCTGGGGACAAATGTCGAATTTCTCCAATCATTTAGCCCGCTTAAACTCCGCCCCTCCAGAGTTGACCGCAAACTCGCACTCATTTTTACACTAAATACCACGCTAAATACAACTGATGCATACAATCAAGTCCCTCCGTGCTACATTGTTTTCTTTTTCGATAATCCGTTAAACTCGGATGTACATCCCAACACGGAAAAGATCTGTCGCTACTTCAGTTTTATCGCAACTTTAAAAATGCACAAAAATAATCAAAACAAATGTTAAATCTTGCAGCTCAAAAAAGCAGACCTCCAGACAGCTGATGTCCTTATCTATTATGTCATATCCTGTCTACTGCCGGCAACTCACCAGTCCTGGCTCTCGATCCAGGGGGCCAGGAACTGCCGCAGCTCCATGGGGAAGCTGTCACTGTACAGGTGATACAGCTGCTCCAGATACCGCGTCTCCAACTGCTGTAACTGATTCCACTGGGCCATGTTGACCTGCAGGACAGAAAGAGAGAGGGAACTGAGAACTCATTTGACACCAGGAAACAAAAGCAAACAAAACTGGTCCGTTCAGCTTGTCAAGATTTCTGTTCCTTGTTCCTTCCTCATAAACAGTTCAAAACAAAGGCGAAATCAAAGAGTGATAGTACCTCAGCGGCTGTTGAAAACAGACATAAATATCACATATCAAGGTCTGCAATATAGAATACTGCTTTTATATGCAGTTACATTCACAAAAAGAATACCTAGCAGATGAATGTTTGGACGACAGTCTTTGCTAGCAACCCAGTCTTATCAACAAAACAGACAAACATCAGAGATGTCAAGGAAGTGAAAGGTCCCTGTCTGTTACCAGCGTGTCAAGGCCACAGAAATCAGTGGCTGTTGATCGTAAAGCAGCGAGAGCATCCGTTCAAAGAGGAAAACCTCAAAAGCCCATGGACACCGTTTCTCTCTTACCTCAATATGCTGAGGAACACACACTTACAGTTTACCACATCCACACACAGAGGTTTGTGCTGACAAACAGACTAAAAAGACCAACACCTTTTCTTTACACAATATCTCTCAGGTTTGCACGCTGAATAAGGATAGAGAGAAAAAGGACACAAGAAAAGGGAAATGCATCCTCAAGTCCGAGTGAAAAAAAGACCCGATGAACGAAACTTGACTGCTTTTCTTTATTTCACTTCTCTTTTGACTATCATTCCAATGCTGAGCAGTAAATTAGCCAAACAAGAACTGTAAAACTTATGTTTCCTTATAAAAATGTATAATTATAATGTATATAAAGTACATAAAAAATAAAAAATAATCATTTAATTATATTTAATAAATTAAAAATAATACATAAATTCTAATCCAATATTTAAATGCATACAATTTATTTATAATTAACTTATCTATTACGGTAAATACCCAAACTCATTCTTTATAGAGTATGTATTTAATAAACAACTAAAGAGACTATTTAAAATAAGTATAAATCATAACTGAAATAAAGCAAACTTACATTGTTATCCACAAAACGAATTGCAACCTTGCTCGCCATGTCTACCTGCTGTGTGCGCAATAGGGAAGTGAACAACAATATTAATGCACAGGTGAAACTATAAGAGTATGAGGTGGAGCTATCCTCCAACTTGGAACCATAGATAGGAATGCCAGACACGTCGAAAGCACTGTGGCGACAAGTGCAGTTAATAAAGTTAATAATAAATAGTTTATTTTGGCTGGATACCTGTTGCATTTATGACTGTCGTTTATCTGATAAGGTCATTTTACTGTGTAATAGAGAGTATTAGGTGGAGGGGTAGGACTTTGACCTATAGAGATAGAAATGCACAAATGCAGCATTGAACACAGACCAATTAACAATGTGACGCCTGATTAAGTTAGCCTGGTAATACCAGACTCTGCTACTTCACTTTGCTTCGTACACAGAGTCTGGGATAGCATAATAGACCAATTTCCAGCCGACGTCACAGTTACGTCACAGCGCTAGCTGGTGGCAGAACAAAGGGAAAACTGGAGGCGGTGAATACAAACCAGCACAGATTCGGCTACAAAATAAGGATCTTAAATTATTTTTCTTATTATTAAATGTCATCTTGTTGTGTTGTTGGGTGCAAGAATCAATGAAACATTAATATGCTTTATCTGCAATTTTTTATTTCTAGAAAATATTCACCTCATTAAAATTGCACCGTAATGTCACTCTTTACATTGTCGTCTTCATGGCGCTGGCTAGGCAGAACTGCGGATCGTACACACACGTCTTGCACATCACCATTCAGCACATAGTTATAGGCATCTAAAGATTTATATGCCCTCCGTTTCTCTATCAGGTTGGTGTAGAAGTCAGGCCACTCAACCGGAGGTAGCCAATCTGGTTCCGTCCGTTAAAATTAACTTTTGCAAATAACAATCGCGGTCCTGGACAGTGAGTGACCTTGCACATTAAGACAAAATCGGATTTTCTCCAGTCATTGTTAAAAACAAGCTAACAAAACTTGCAGACTTTACGTTAGTGAAGCGGCCAGAGGGATCGTTCTGCCACCACCTAAGCTCCGCCCACATAAAAACGTCACCATGTTTACCAACTGAAAATTGGAGAAGTGTTTGATATATGACGTATGTTATGCGCCGACACAGCCATCGAACCACAGACATCATGCATCGAACTCAAATCTATAAATCTACTTTTTTGATCTGTGAGTGATGTAACGTTAATAGAATGACTGCAAACGAGCAGAGAGAGAGAGAGAGAGAGAGAGAGAGAGAGAGAGAGAGAGAGAGAGAGAGAGAGAGAGAGAGAGAGAGAGAGAGAGAGAGCCCCGGCCGCGCGCGCGCACTCCCACGTCTACAAACAACACGAGCGCTGTCTTGCTCTCTCTCCCTCGCGCATATTCATAAAAATCAATCGACAAGATAGTAAGAGGTCGGAAGACCGCGGTTTCACGTGGAGCATTTGGAGATTTTTAGAGATTATAGACTCTAGGAACAACATCTCAATGAACAACATCTCAACTATAAAGGCCTGTCTCGTATAAGTTAGACGCCTATCTCAAGTACAAGCCGGTGCAGTTCGACGATTTGGGCAAATAAAAGCCCGGGCTATTATTTGAAGTTTTACGGTATTTAAGACCTGGAAAAGAAAAGAGACACTGACCTGTCAAAAGGCTCCCCAGTTTCTCGCTGACGATCGGTAATAGTTGATAAATTAAACTTTTCCCAAAGGGAGTAGGGCCACAACATCACCTCCATTCAAAATGTTTAATACACACTCTTCGTGTTCGGGCTTCAGTTTGCTAATGCCGGGAATATTCTCCACAACAGAGCGAATTGCATCCGCGTCTCCATATCAGCGGTCGTTTTCGATTTCCCTGACCTAATCTTAAACACGGCGCTTACCGACGTCACGGCTTTCAGCCCGCCCTCTGTTCGTTGATTGGCCAGGCTGTTTTCAGGCCGGTGGAAAACAGAAAGATAGGCTGCTATCTCAGACTGACTACAGGAGCGAAATGAAATTAGCGGAAGTAGGAAGTCTGACGTAGTCAGGCTATGATTAAGTATGTTGGTTAGACAAAAGACAAAACTGGAAATCTTTGTCTGGATTTTAGTACATGAACATCAGATGAAGAATTAAGAATTAAGTGTTCAGGGCCAGTTGACAGGACTGTCGTGTCACCTGTCCTTTCAGGTAAGTTCTGAGTTGCCACTAAAAAGTTAGCACTCATTCATACTTTACATTAATTTTTATGCCCCATAAACAAACATTTGGATTCCTGTACTGTATTCTACACTGTTATTGCAAAGTCTGCTGATTTGTCACCTAATTTATTTTGATTGTTGTCAAAATTTCTAAATTACTTTTAAAGGGGTCATATAATGGTACATGCACTTTTTCAAGTTGATTGTACTGAAATGTGTGTTGGCAGTGCCTGTACACAACCATCATATAATGATAAAAATCCATCCAGTGTTTTTGTTTTAATCTCATTAAATGTTTTCCCCTGCCTCAAATCGAGCCGTTCGACCGTGTGACGTCACACGGTCGGAAGCCCCTCCCGCGATTGTTGATTGACAGGCGCCTTTCAACACAGACCCGCCCTCGCTCGTGAGCCAGCTGTCAATCATAGTCTGCGCGGACCGGCGCGGTCATTGTTGATATGCTGGAGCACTGTCTATGAGCAGAATGGCGTCTAAGCGATTGTGGTGTTCTGTTCTTGGGTGCAATAAGGGACCCAGCAGTCATTTTAATGTTCCTAAATCTGAACCGCTGAAGACGCACTGGCTGAGTTTGGTTTTCGAAGGGAATATTCCCCACGAGCAACGTCAATGCTTTCATGTTTGCGCGAATCATTTCTCAGCAGACTGCTTTATAAACGAGGATCAGTATAAAGCTGGTTTTGCTAAGGAGCTGCTCCTGAATAAAGGATCGGTACCAGATATTCGTGTTCCTGCTGAACCTCTAGAACAACTGAAGTGAGTGTAACGTTTTATTAAACTTTATATTAATATTTATATCTTTGCAAATCGCTTCACGATGAATGAGTCTAAGGTTTACACTCAGGGTACATTACTGCATGTTTTCTATGTACGACGTTCTCCATATAATTCATAATCCCACGTTTATAATGAACAATGCGTTATGGTTATTGTGTTACAAACGATGTACACACAGAACAGAGAGGCGGGGTGAGCAAAGCTCATGATCATTTAAAGGCATATGCACTGAAACGGCGTGCTGAAAACAGAGCTGTTTTTGACCAGGTAAAATAAGTGTTTTCTTACAATACTAATGAGAATTTTTAATTAAAGTATATTACAAACTTTTAATTTAGACCCTAAAGAATCATATTAGCTTGTACAAAAATGGCATTATATGACCCCTTTAAAATAACAGTATTGAAAGCTTCTTTGAGTGGTGCTATATAAAAATGTATTAATAGTATTTATTACTATTAATGTTTTGTATTATATGCCACCATTGTCCAGCAAAAGTGTGTTTATTCATTTATATAGTAGTTACATTATTACTGTATAATATTAAACTTGTAATTAAAAATAAATAAATAAATATATATATATATATATTTCTTTAAGTATTAATATAAAAATTCTGTGTTCAAAATATATATATTTTTTTTTTGGCAGAGCAGGGTTAGGGTAAGACAATTCACATATCTCGTGGTTTATCACAAAAGGCTTCAGTGTTTTTCAGGAATTAGATGATACACATCATCTTGGATCATATTTCCAAGAACTTTAAGAGTAGGAGGAAACCACAAAGCTTAAGATCTATGTGCTCCCTGAGGGAAGATTCAGTTGTCTCCCACCACCTGCCATCCAATCTCAGTTTACAGCTACACAATGCTCCCAAGAACCCTAACAAGAAAAATTCCCAGGAATAATAGTGATGATGACCCAAATCATCTCCTGAAAAACAAACAGCAGTCAGAAGACTTTAGATAAGTGCACATTCACATTGC